TTAATATTTGTTATTTATTGTTTGTCAAGTTATACAATTTATACATTTTACATGTTAAGTTATAATGATGCAAAAACATATTACAAATATAAGTTACTTTTTAAATTTTTTTCCCACTTACAATGAATCACAACAAAGTTGTGATTGATTTTTTAAATGTATATAAAAATACATTTAATACACATTTTAAACATATAAAACACATATGTGTGTGTGTGGATTGTAAGATTAAGCTTAAACATTTAAATATAATTAACTATCAAATTAATTCTAAAAACAAAATAGTATATTTAACTATATATAGTAGATATCATGAAAATAATGCAAAAAGTATATTACAAATCTAAGTGAAATGTTGTCATTCTTTTTTTCCCCCACTTATAATGAATCACAACAAAGTTTTGATTACATTTTAAAATTTACCATAAAGAAACACATTCATAAGCACAAATGAAGAGTACTTACTCGACAGGAGGTTTGGTTGGCACTGCATTTTCATACCATTCTGAGTAGTCGTAGTCTTTCACAGTTTCAGCACTCATGGTGCCAACCTACAGATGAAACAGTAGTTTCAGTGAGCTCCAATAACTTAAAAGCAGCCGAAATCAGTCTTCCGCACTCCTGTGGGACACAAAACGCCCTAATCGTTCAATTTTGGAGGGATAAACAAAGATAAAGTCTCCTTCTCTCCTCCTTTCTTGCTCTCTCGTTCAGATGCCCTGTTACCGAGAGCTGTGAGGAGCAATGTGACAGGTCCTTTTCTGTAGCATGCCAACCCAAAACACCTTTACTTCAGCTTGGATCTCCTTTTCAGATGGGAGATTACCACTTCACTGGAAACCAGGAGAGAGAGAAAAGCAATGGAGAGAGAGGAAGAGGGAAGTTTTTCAGACAGGGGCGGCCGATCTCTCCTGCCACCTGTAGTTCAGAGGGATTAGGTGGACTTCCAAGGGCCGTCCTGTGGCTGGTATTGAGAGTTTGAATGAGCGCTGGACTTATAATACTGAGTCAAAACAGGCTGGAACTGTGTGGGGGCTGAATGCTGACATTCCACTGTGATAACAGGGAAATTCATGTGTGTGAGCACCATTCCAGTTATCAGGTGGAGATTCCCAATGGTGACTCACAGTGTGAGGTATAAGGAAGTCATTTCCACGAACCACACACATGTGAAGAATCAAGTCAGATGCAGTACAGGTTACACTTTCTAAAGTGTTTTTATTTTGTAACAACTGTAGAATTTTATCTTCAAAAGATAAAGTGTTTAAACCATGATTCTAACACAATCACAGATATTTTTAACTTAATCAGTGTTTTTAAGATGCCTAAACCCACTGCGTTGTCATTTTTGTAGATTTCATACCTGAGAACTAATAAGCTGAGATCACATTTATGATATGAATTAACGTACAAACACCAACCAACCAGAACAACCGCATAACAATGCACTAAAAATCACTCAAAACACCTGGCAACTTGGCAAGGTGTGCTTACAAACACACAGCTTTTCACTTTACAAGATGTTAATTGATGGACTGGAGTAATGTGGATTATTGTGATGTTTTTATCAGCTGTTTGGACTCTCATTCTGACGGCACCCATTCACTGCAGAGGATCCACTGGTGAGCAAGTGATGTAATGCTAAATTTCTCAAAATCTGTTCACATTCAGAAATAAACTCATCAACATCTTGGATGGCCTGAGGGTGAATACATTTTAAGAACATTTTTGGGTGAACTATTCCTTTAAGGTGTATTGCCACACCCACCGAATGACCACGCCCCCCTACTTTAGTAAGAGGGAACATGGAGGCTTTTGCAACCTTCAGCTGCATTGTTGCCCTCATTATGAAGGGATTACAGCCAAAGATGGTTAAGAAAAGTTATAAAAATCCATTCATAACAATGCCGAGAACTTGGGAAAGGGCAAAAAAAAAAAAAAATCCGGAGACAAAGCAAAGCAGGATTTACAGATAAAGGTCGCAGAACAAAGAATGCTTTGAAGAGCTTTGATTATATCATGGAAATGTGACTGAAAGTTTGCTTATATCTGGTTCGGAGAAGGTCAACGGTTAGTTCCATCAAACACCTTTATGTGGAAGGTTCTCACGCATCAAATTTCCAAATAACTTTGACAATGAATTACTGTATGAAACGTATCTGAGAGATATAAGGCTAACATCTTTCTGATCTTTGACTATCCTATCTTTCCTCTCCAATTTCAAAGAACCCAATGCAGCCATTCCTAAAAAAGATACAGTGCACCATTCACTGAAGACATGAAACCACAGCTCTATTTTCTTTATTTTCATAATGAGTCAGGCTGACACATGTAGAAGCTTGGTCCGTGTAATATTCCTCCTACTGTTACATTCACACCATCTTACACACTGGACTGGTGCTGGCGTAACAAATGACCCCAACAGAATTACATTGTGAATCCCGTCAGTATCACCATTGTGGCTGGCCTTTGAAACGGTGTAGTGTGCTTAGACGATTCATTATGGCATGGTTAAACCTTAATGGGATCCTGTCAGTGTCCACAGGAGCTTTTGACAAGGAGGAAACTGATTAAGCAGGCAACGCCATTGAGCACACAGCCCAAGATGGATGCTGCCTGTAATGACTTCTTATGAGCCACCATCACTCAAGGGCTCTGGGGATGACCTCCATTCACCATTTACCAAGAAAACAGTCTCCATGGTGCCGTGCCATTGACAGTAAGGCTTTTAGTGGAGGATAAAGAAGGTCAGGTGACAACAGACACTGCCATTGCATTAGCTTGACAATTAATTGCCATATATACATAGACGCAGATGGAGTTAATGAAGATAAAGTATATGAGAAATGAATGATGAAAACTGAAACTGGCACATCTAAACACAAACATTACTCCCATATTCCACGCTGGTAGGTCACATAATATAATAATAACAACAACAACATAGCGAATTTATACTACATTTATACTACATACATTCATACTACATAGAACATACTTTTTCGAGAAGTAATTACTTATTCAAAATGAGTATGTATTCACGAAAGTATGCGATTTTGAACCAGCCAGAATTGATGATATATTCGTTGTATTAAATTAATATGTTTTGTTTTTCATTTACAATACAACTGGCTATAAACTGGCTGTAACTCAAGAAGTATTAAAGATATCTTAATGCCCTTTTAGATTTTGGGTCTAGTGGTTAGGATTGGGCACTCTCACCACCGCGGCCCAGATTCAATTCCCGGTCAGGCAACGACTGTTTCTGGGCAGTTGTGGCCTAATGGTTAGAGAGTAGGACTTGTAACCCAAAGGTCGCAGGTTCGAGTCTCTGTACCTGCAGGGATTGTAGGTGAATAACCAGCGCTCTCTTCCACCCTCGATTGAGGTGAGACCCTTGAGCAAGGCACCGAACCTTCAACTGCTCCCTGGGTGCCACAGCAATATGGCTGTCCACTGCTCCGGGTGTGTGTTCACGGTGTGTGTGTGCATGTTTGTTCACTACTCACTGCTGTGTGTGTGCACTTGGATGGGTGAAATGCAGAGCTCAGAATCAGAAAGAGCTTTATTGCCAAGTGTGCTTACCAAGCGGCAACCTCCCGCTCTCTCTCTCTCTCTCTCTCTCTCTCTCTCTCTCTCTCTCTCTCTCTCTCCGTGGTTTCAGCAACCAGCTCCCGCCTCTTTGCCCATTTTCGATTACCTGGGCCGGGAGTGACGCGCGGCCAAGATGGCTACGGCCAGCTCCGCCCACTTTGAGCTTCAAAAACGCTCTTCAGAAAACTACGGGTGACGTCACGGACACTACGTCCATGTTTTTATACAGTCTATGGTGCTTACAACACACAAGGAATTTGTCTTGGTGACAGAAGCTTCCAGTGCACAGACAGGTTGACAAGTGACAAGACACTGATAACAAAATAAAAATAAGTGAGTAAAAATAAATATGTAAAAACAATACACAATACAAAAAGACAGTAGACAGTATATTGTATGTTCAGATGTGCTATATACAAATAATGCAAGGGAATGTGGATAGATGTAAGATATATTAAATTAATAACATACGTATAATAAATATAAGTGTACATAGTTGGGTATTGCACAGTGGGGAGAACATTTAACTGTTCATGAGATGGATTGCCTGAGGGATTTCCGAGTAGCCTGTGGGACACAATACTTGGCTACACATCCTTTCCTTTCCTTAAAGTTGCGTGCATGTATCTGAATATCTGTTTCAAAATTGTAAAACCAACTTTATTAACATATTTACACAGTAAACTCATGTAAAGCAATACATAGCAAATTTCTACTGCTTGATAGTTTATCCGTGCAAAATGTAAACTATACTGTACAGCTCTCTATGTAAAGTTGGATATATAAGTATAAGGGCAAAGAGTATACTCACTTAAGGCTACTATAAAGCAAATTTCAGCAGCGTGTGACTTGACTATATCTGTCAAACCACACTAAAATTTAATTTGTGACTTAGTGGTATCAATGTGGTGTAAATGAAAAACTAGAATAAATCTACTGTTGTAATGGTCTGTTTTGAAGTAGTCAGCGCCACAATACTGGAGTGTTGCTAAAGTTTTCTGAGGGACTTTTAGCATGTTGCTATGCCATTGCTAAGGGTTTCTGACAGAGCAGCGTGTGACTTGGCTATATCTGTCAAACCACACTAAAATTTAATTTGTGACTTAGTGGTATCAATGTTGTGTAAATGAAAAACTAGAATAAATCTACTGTTGTAATGGTCTGTTTTGAAGTAGTCAGCGCCACAATACTGGAGTGTTGCTAAAGTTTTCTGAGGGACTTTTAGCATGTTGCTATGCCATTGCTAAGGGTTTCTGACAGGTTACAAGTTAAAATAAATAAATAAATAAATAAAAAGGCCACCCCCAAATTTTATGTATGTATGCATTTATTTATTTATTTACTTTTTTATTACTTTAACTTGGGCCAGTAACCTGCCAGATATGGCACAGGTCCTTCCTTCAGCGTCTATGGGATTGTCTCAACATTTTATCGTCGAAAATCTGAAGTATGATCGCTTAGAAAAGTAACAGTAACGTTACTCAGTCGTCATGCATGTCTGTTTTTCAATGGCACGTGAGAAACACAAATTATTTTGATAACTCACCATCTCCTGACTTCAGGTAAAAACGCTCCATGCAGGCACGTGCGCACCTGAACTTTGCGAATAATTATAGAACAGTTGCATTATGGATGATTGTGTAAACTGATACATCACACCCACATGCATTCATAAACAAGACAATCGATAATTTAATTATGCAGCTGTTCTGTTAACGTTTATGATATATTTAGACGCGCTTTTCTGTTAAATATGTATATATTTGCATTGAATTCTTTTTTATAGCATGCTTCATTTACATCATTTTTGTTTTGTTTTGATCTAATCTCATTTTTATTTGTGAAAAGTACAAAGCTTTTTTATTGTTATTTTTAAATTTCTGGATAGTTTCCCAGTCCACAATTGGTTCCTTTCTAAAAATTTGTTTTAGCATTAAGTACCAATAAAAAAATACAATTAAGTCACAAAGAAACTGGAAGGAATTTAATCAAATTTTGAATGACTCCTTACCTTGATTCCAAGAGATCCCAAAGTTCAGTCCCACCTTGAGACCCTTTGCATTCAGTACGTTTCTTCAGCAAAGTGGATTTTTGGGTATCACTCACTTGGCTTTTCCTACTTTATAGCTTTGCAATAACCATGTGTTCAGTGTTTTGAATGAGGTCTTGTATGAACACTGCATGCTGTCTCTACAGACTTTGACCCTTTCTTGCAGTGGCCACAGTATCTTGGTAACGAACTTCGCTAAGAAAAAAGACACAAGGAAAGCGCTGTTGTAAGATAGGACACCATCTTGGCCGAAGTTCAAAGCAGTGGCCT